GAACTGAACCTTCAACCAACAAAAATGACTTTCATCACCGTATTGATCTGGACGCTGGCAGTATTATGTCGAGGTTTGTGTCAGTCAAGATTATATACATTATTTAGTTATCTTTATGTGTGTTGTGAAGATATATTGTTGTAAAAGTGTTTGTGGTTTCTAATATTTCTCTCTTGTCAGAATCTGTTGGTCAGGAGACAGTGACTCAAACTCCCTCAGAGCGGCTCTATGAACCTGGACAATCAGTCACTATAACCTGTAAAACTAGCAGTGATCCAGCCTGCTGTTATGGTGATGGGAAACCCCTTCTTAGCTGGTACTTACAGAAACCTGGAGAAGCTCCTAAACTCCTGATTTATTACACAAACCGCCTCCAGTCAGGAACTGCATCTAGATTCAGTGGCAGTGGATCTAACAGTGATTTCACTCTGACCATCAGTGGAGTCCAGACTGAAGATGCTGGACATTATTACTGTCAGAGTTATCACAGTGGTAATGTGTTCACACAGTGATAAAGAGTCGTACAAAAACCTCGGTCAGTCAGAGTCACAGTGACTGAACTGAAACTGCAGCTGCTCAAACACACACACACACACTCAACAGTGAAGAAACGACTCAATATGTTCTTATTGAACATCACTTTGTTGAGATTCATCAGTTTTTGACCTTTTTGATTGTGCAGGAATCACATTTGTCTCCTGTTTCTATTACATCCTTTATGTAGAAATTCAGTCACTTTTGATTTTCACTTCAATGGATATTTTTCAATTCATTCAAAACATTTTTGATTTTCTGTGTTGATGATTTAATATATTATTTTTTTATAGTAAACTGCACCATCAGCATCTTAATATATGTTGAGCAGTTTAATAAGTCGAAGGATTTATTAAATGAATGACACACACACACACACACACACACACACAGAGGACAAACAGAGGAACTACACATTTGCACAAAATGACTTATGACTGAAATTAACTCTATTAGACTGATCTGATCTGTGACAGACGAGTTTGACTCTAATATTCTCAGAATCAGAGAAAACTGAGTGTGTAAACTGATATAAATCAAACAAACAACAGTGGCGCAATATTTTGTGTGTTTTTTGTACATTAAACTACACAGTAAAGTGTAACCTATAATTATGTTCTTGAACCTTTTTACAGTAGCTCCTTCATCTCAAACTAATGAAATTATTATTCATAACTCATCCCTCCATCAGCAGAAGTGAAACTGTTCCAGTTCAGAGAGTTGAACCAGTAAAAGAGTGAAACTGTGAGTTTGAGGTGAAAATCTCATTTGCATTGTCAGGTTTAGTGATTGTGATGTCTCAGAATAGAGCAGCTCGTCTCCAGTGACCATGTTCAAACCCCTAGAGCTTCATTTGACATTTACTGCTGAATGCAGCTGTTCTCAACTATTACAATCAATCAAAAGCAGCTGAAACTTTAGTGCAGGACTTTGAAGGAACGACACACTGATCAATGATGCAGTCACACACACATGTAAGCTTGCGTTCAGATGAAGCTTTATTGAATGAACAGCAATGGCAGCACATTGACAGACTGCTTCAGTATTGAGCTGTAAATCACGTGCCGCTCAGATACGCTGGTCTTCACTGGAGAAACATCAGCACTCGGAGCTCTTGAGGAACGAGGCCTCGTGAGCAGCTCCGGCATGTGTTCCTCTGCAGACCAAGTGCTCTCTGCCTTCCCAGCGTGCTTTGCTGAGGCTCAGGACGCTGCTGCGACTGTAGAGACCGCCCCGCTCGCTCTCTGCGCTGGTCTGAACCCCCTCGGTGACCTCTGACCCGTCCAGCGTCCAGCTCACCGTCGCCCCCTGTGGAGAGTAAGAGCTGAGCAGGCAGAGCAGAGCGGAGGAGTCTCCAGAGACCAGCAGAGACACGGAGGGAGACACGGAGGGCCCGGCTGAAACACACACACACACACACACACACACAGATAGTTAGATGTCTGACTCGGTCATGTAGTAGAAATCACAAAAAATCTATCTTTACAGAAATTCCACATAACTGCTTTCATTCATAAACCACAAATATCCTGAATTCAGTTTAAAATATTCTCAGTTAAATCAATATTCACTAATACTAAAAAATGTATCATGTAATTCTAAATATAAATCAGTTCTGTAAAGCAGACATGATATACAGCGAATCTTACAGTAATTTGATGTTTTCTGAATAATCATTTCATCATTAATTGTATTTTGAAAAATTCTTAAGACTCTCACAATCATAATGATCAGCAAATTTCAGTTCAAATGATGAATTTTTCAAATCTTTCTATTTGTCTGATGGCGACGCCTAAAAATATAATTATTTTATCCGTATAATCAAACTTTTGTGTAATGGATTTTAAAAAGTATTAGCAGTTAAATTTACCAAGAATTATGGACACAATTATGTACTTTAAAAAAAAACTGAATATGACAGAAAATATCACAATATTACATTCAATATAATATTACAATAATATTTCAGTCAACATGTTAAAAAACAATGAATTTTAGCAATTATAATATATGAAATTACTCATGTATAATATGAAATATGCTTTGAAATATAAAAAAAAGATAAACATGATGAAATCTCACGGAATATACGAGTTTTTTGTAAAATAACAGACAAATAGAAATTGTGAAACAATCAAATTCGCCATGAAATATTGCAGTTAATTTTTTTTATTTAAACTCTTTTTTAATTTTATTTATCTTGTTGCCAAATGCTTGCTAAAATAATCTAAAAACAAAACAAATAAATAAAAAATAAATCATTTTTAGAGAATAGAAGAGACTTACTGATCGTCAGTTTAGTTCCTCCACCGAAAGTCCTCCACAGTGTTTCATTCTAGTGAAAGCGTCGTACAAAAACCTCCGTCACACTCAAATGAACACACACACCAGCAGAGAAAGAGACGAACGACACACACACACACACACACACTGATATGAGACTCAACATCATGATTATTGAACTGAAGTGACTTTCACAGAAACAGCCTCATCGTCTCTAAATGTCTCTTAATGCATGAAAACTATTCAATCTAAATAAATAATCTAATCATAAAGACTCTGTACTGATATTTACACATTAACTGAGAGTTTCTAAATGATCGTGTGTTTCTCAAAGCATTTGAATGAGTTTTGATGACCTGTGACCTCTGGAATGACCTTTGACCTCTCATGGAGTTCACAGTGAAATACTTGTTTCTTTTAGTGATGAAACTCTGTCACTCGATTCATCAGAAAGTCTGAACTCTGAACCAGAGACTCATGCAGAATAAAGAAGAAATGATTTCTAAACTTGTAAAGAAGTGAAAACACACTCATTGATCATGAGAATAAAACACATTAAAGGCATAAACTGGATCAGTTTCGTCTGCATGTTCATGTTCATGTGTGTTTTCCTCCAGCTGGTTTTTGCTCAGAGAGTCACTTTGCATCGGCACGTGTTTCAGCTCTCCGAGTGTTTATAGCCTTCAGACTCACACACTTTATAACACACGGCTGTTTACCACGGTACAAACCCAACACACACCATGAATCTCTTCAGCGGCTTCATCTGGATTCTGACAGCTTTTATTCCAGGTAACAGAAGTCAAAGCTCGTCATTTCTGAGTCTTTAATGTTCATTTCATTTGATGAAACTCATATAATGTTGTTGTCGACAGCATCCAGAGGAATCACTGTGACTCAGCCTGGAGTTGTGACTGTTTCTGAAGGACAAAAAGCCACAGTAGAGTGTAAAACTGATGCTGGGATAGCTGGCTATGGTTTAGCTTGGTATCAGCAGAAACACGGAGAAGCTCCTAAACTCATCATTAAGCTGGTAGATGAACTCTATGATGAGAGTCTCAGTCGATTCAGTGGGAAAGGAGAAGCAGAAGGAACAGATTTCACTCTGACCATCAGTGGAGTCCAGACTGAAGATGCTGGACATTATTACTGTCAGAGTGTACATGAAACTGACAGTGGTGATTATGTGTTCACACAGTGATAAAGAGTCGTACAAAAACCTCGGTCAGTCAGAGTCACAGTGACTGAACTGAAACTGCAGCTGCTCAAACACACACACACACACACACACACACACACACACGACTCAATATGATCTCACTGAACATCATTTTGTTAAGCTTTATCAGTTTTTAACATTTTTTATTGTGATTTTTCAGAAGTCATATTTGTCTCCTGTTTCTATTACATCCTTCATGTAGAAATTCAGTCACTTTTGATTTTCACTTCAGTGGATATTTTTCAATCCTTCCCCACATTTTTGATTTTCTGCATTTATGATTTATAACAATGTCGATGGATTTATTAAATTAATCCCTCATAATGCAGATATTAACAGCATCATAACACTTCCCTCAACATCAGAGCTGATGATAATAATTTATATTAATATCTATGTATGGAGGAATTAGCAATTATAATTTAATTTAATTTATTTTTTATTTTTATTTAATTTAAAAATTAAAGACCAGATTACCCAACAGGAGCTGTATACTAACCAAAAACAGCATATGCATGTCACCCTATTATTTTAAATGTATTTTATAAACATTTATAAAGCTCAACATGTTTATATCATGTGTGACTCGCAATCAAACTCAGTTATTCAGTGACTGACAGAGACTCGTGTGTGTGATGATCATGTTCATAAACTGCAGGAACACACACGGATTTGGTGTAAATTTGGGAATTAACAGCGACGTTTCACTCCAACTGCAGTAAAAAATATTCTCAAAGTCTCACAGTGAAGTCTTGTCTCGCTTTCGGGGCTACAGATTATAATCCACTGAATAAAACTATATAATCTATTGAATAAAACTATAGTTTTTTATCCTGCTAAGAGAACCGACGGCCAGCGCTGCAAAGTTTCTGAAGTGACATCACATATAAATGCTGGATTCACTCTGCATGGATGTGACGTTATAATAGTAACACATTAAAGCAATATAAAGGCAGACTAAAAGATTAATAGAAATATATAGCAAAATACATATTTTTCAATTCTATTCCAGTTATTGGTAAAAGTGATGACCTGTAAATAATGTTAAATGTCTCGCTGTACACTGTATGGTGGAGCCGTTGCTAAAGTTTAAATCTGAACTTTACTAGAAAACCTTCAGTGATTTGAGTCTGGATCCGGATCTGCTCATATTCAGATATTCAGATTAATATACTGAAGCTGGTCTTGTAGATGTAATCAGAACTGAATTGAATGATATCATTTTTAACATTTTGACTATCGTAGAGGATACAATATTATGAAAAACGTTTATTTTGACTCTGTTCTCACTTCAGTAATTGTGTGTTGTGTGTGTTATTGAGTGACTGTCTTCAGGGAAATGATGTGGAGTGTGTTTGCATATTGATCAGATCTTCAGTGTGTGAGAGTGTTTATAGTGCTGTGAGTTTAACACTTCATCACTGACACACACAACAATCTTCATCAACATGACCTTCATCATCATCTTCATCTGGACTCTCACAGCGTTTGCTCAAGGTTTGTGGAGCACAAGTTTGATATTAATTCATTTCTTCAAGTATTTTGTCAAAGTTTTGAGTGTATTTTCTTGTTGTGTGTTTCAGAGTGTAGAGGACAGATCACCGTCACTCAGAGTCCCTCAATAACAGCAGAACAACCAGGAGGAACTGTGAATATCAAATGTAAAACCAGCAGAGATGTGTACAGTGTTGGTTCTGTTTATTTCTTATCCTGGTACTTACAGAAACCTGGAGAAGCTCCTAAACTCCTGATTTATTACGCAAACCGCCTCGAGTCAGGAACTCCATCTAGATTCAGTGGCAGTGGATCTAACAGTGATTTCACTCTGAGCATCAGTGGAGTCCAGACTGAAGATGCTGGACATTATTACTGTCAGAGTTATCACAGTGGTAATGTGTTCACACAGTGATAAAGAGTCGTACAAAAACCTCCGTCAGTCAGAGTCACAGTGACTGAACTGAAACTGCAGCTGCTCACACACTTTCACACACACAATGGTGAGGATTTTCATGGATAAAAAAACAGAGAATTAGAAATGAACATATAATGAACATTTTTATTTTATTTTTTATTTCAGGTCATTGATATGTTTTACAAACAAGAATCTACTGAAAAAGACAGATTAGAAATAGAAGAGCTTGTGTTTCTCTATAATGTTTGTACTTGATTCACTTTATCAGCATTAAACTTTTAAAAAGTTGATCTGAATGTTTTTAGAGAAGAATTTTCACAAAGCCTGTGATCACCAAAGCGATGAAAGTCATATTGAAGTTATATTTGAAGTCATTTTCATGATCAACTTCACTGAAACTCACTTTGGTTTAAAGCATCAAAGATCAGATGTGAAGAAACACAAGAACTGCAGGAATTCACTGCAATTTAAGACGGCAACATTAGAAATTGAGGGTAAAACTTTGTATAAAATCACAAAACAAACGTTGTGTGTCACATCTATTATAACTTTATACGATATGAATCACAATTACTCCTGAAGAATCAGACAGAGCTGATCATTAAGAGAAAATACTATAAACATCTTTACAGTGTTACAGTTTTTTTTATTCGCTTTGGTACTATTTTCACAAGTAAGGTGTACATTTTCAAAACTCTTAGTGCTAATATCACAACAGATCATCAAAAGTGCACTTTTATCAAACATTTCATCATGTTTTCAATTGTGTTAGTACAATTCACAAAATCACAAAGTATCCTTTTCACAACACAAAATAAGTGTTTCATCTACATAAATGTTTCATTCACAGTAACTGCCTTTCATAAAGCTCTTATTATCAAACTTTTGATTTGCATCTCTTTTTGTTCAGTTTAATACATTTGTCTATTATTTAATCCAACTGATCTTAATGGTTAATCAATTAATCATTTGGTACACCTATAGATTTCTATACAAGTGAAACTCGAAAAATTAGAATTTCGTGCAAAAGTTAATGTATTTCAGTAATTCAAATTAAAAGGTGAAACTAATACATTTATAGTATATGGAACTACAGTATATAGGCTACACATGGATGATTATACTTTTCAGAGGGCCGACATTTCTGTATTTACGTACAGTAAAATTCTTTTTTTATTGATTTCATGTAATCTAATTTTCTGAGATTTTGAATTTGGGTTTTTCATAAGCTGTAAGCCATAATCATCAAAATTATAACTTTTGCACGATATTCAAATTTTTCGAGTTTCACCTGTAGATATTGATTCTATATTTCTATAGAACTTGTTTGCAATTTCCGATATGGATAACCAAATTTAATGAATTCTTATTCATTACATTCTTATTCTTATTCGATTTATAGATAACCACCACTATGTTCAAAGTGTGTGCACACGCATGTGTGTGTGTCTGTGTGTGAGAGAGATACAGATAAATTTGCCATTTGTGAAAACACTGTAAAGCAGAATAGAGTATAAGGGAGATAAACGGTCGATTACTGTAAAACAGATTGATTAGAGATGCATCAGTAGAAGGGAGACAGATGGCATCAAATACAGCATTTTACATTACAGTATGTATGCCATGTGATACTGTAAACAGATTACCATGGTAGAGACTGCCACATTACTGTAATTCAACCTTCATCTGTATAGGTCCACTACTGTATATATAGATTTACATTTACATTTACATTTAGTCATTTAGCAGACGCTTTTATCCAAAGCGACTTACAACTGAGGACTAAACCAAGCGAGTCATCGTGAAGAGGCAAAAGCAACGCAAGAAGTGCTCAAAATACAAAGTTCAGCCATAGCTCGGAGTAGCATAAGGCAGGCAAGCGAGGATTTAGAGGAAAGGATTTTTTTTTTTTTTTTTTTTTTTTTTTTTTTTTTTAAGTTAAGTGCTCCCGGAAGAGATGAGTTTTCAGTTGTCTTTTGAATGTTGTCAGGGATTCTGCATTCCGGATGAGGGTGGGGAGATCATTCCACCAGCATGGAACCGTGAATGAGAATGTTCTGGATAGTGATTTTGTGCCCCGCTGTGATGGTACCACGAGCCGTCGCTCATTGACCGATCGTAGGCTTCTGGTAGGGATGTAGACTTGTAGTAGTGAGTGGAAGTAGGAGGGAGCTGATCCTGTGGTCAATCTGTAAGCAAGCGTCAAAGCCTTGAACTTGATGCGAGCAGCGAGTGGTAGCCAGTGCAGAGAGATGAGCAGAGGAGTGACGTGGGCCTTTTTGGGCTCGTTGAAGACCAGACGAGCTGCAGCATTCTGGATCATTTGTAGAGGTTTAGTTGCACATGATGGAAGTCCAGCCAGAAGAGCATTGCAGTAATCAAGCCTAGAAATGACCAGGGCCTGGACGAGAAGTTGTGTTGCATGCTCAGTTAGGAAAGGCCTGATCTTCCTGATGTTGTGCATAGCAAACCTGCATGATCGAGCTGTCTTTGTAATGTGTTCTGTGAAGGTCAGCTGATCATCAAAGATTACTCCAAGATTTCTGACCGACCTTGATGGGGTGATTGAGGATGAATCTACCTGGATAGTGAGGTCGTGCTGAAGAGACGGATTGGCAGGGAGGACGAGAAGCTCAGTCTTTGCCAGGTTGAGCTGCAGGTGATGTTCCTTCATCCATGCCGAGATGTCCGCCAGACAGCTTGAGATCCGTACAGCTACTGTGGGATCATCTGGTTGAAATGATTCAGATTCAGTCAAAGGCTATAGAGTGAACACATTTACTGTATTGCCAGCAGACTCTGTTCTCGCACAGAACCGCATGACTGTCATACTTCATCACAGCTTTTGATAACTCACTGCAGATACTATTACAAACATTATGGATTCAATTACATAAGTTAGGTAATGCATGTGTATTTTCTAATGTGGCAACTGTAGCCTGTATTACTTTTAATTATTTCAGCAACAAGGGTGATTTGAAACATGTATCTGTTTGCTGTTGAATGAACTGATTGTTAAAAGTACTAAACTGAAAGAAGATCATACTGTTGTGTTTCTGTGATTAAACCAAACGTTCTCATTACATATTACAATAATCTTGTGTTTGAAACAATGATTATGTGGACTGAAAAATGTATAACTGTAATGAAAGCATGGGATCATGTTTTGAAAGAATGACTAGCTGCGTTACAAGTGTGATCAGTTTGGATTTTTGTACTAGAGTTTTGAAAATGTACACCTTACTTGTGAAAATAGTACCAAAGCGAATAAAAAAAACTGTAACTGACAAACATTCAATGTGTCTTATAACACACACACACACACACACACACACACACACACACACACACACACACATTTTACCTGTCTATCTGGGATGTTTGCTGCAAATGTTTGCACACTATCAGCTAAAGGTTTCTGTATTTCTGGGTTTGCATTATTTCATTATTAGGTCATTATGAAAGGTTGACTGTTCCCCGTCTGTGGACTTGTGAATGGCACTAATGACAAAGTGACATTGAGAAAGTAACACGGTATAAAGAAAACATGAGAACATGAAAACATATAAAATATTAGATAATATATAAGACAAAAATAGCATTACATGTAATATTTCTAAAGTGTTATCCTTTATTGTGTACATATATGTTCCCATATAAATGTGAATGTATGTTCACACATATAATACACACACATTCATGGAATGAGTTACAACAGATTTCTAGTTCCCAGCATGCTTTGCTTTTGACTATTAAAGGAGTGTAAATGTTAAAATTAAGTGTTATTTAATGTGTTTTGCTCAATATTAATATAGGGGGAGATCTGTTAGTGTTTAATGTTCTATTATTTTGGAATTTAAAATGTTGTCTGGTATGTGTGAGTTTTGGGGTTAACATTGTGCTGAAGAGTAGAGTCTGTGGTTAGGTTGACCATTGGTCAGAGTTTATTATATATTGAAAGTAATGGTTGTGCACTCCTCAGCTCAGCGATCTCTTGGCCAAATACTTTACATGCAGGTGTGCTTGTGCTTTTGTTAACTGCTTTGAACATTGAAGACATTTATAATGAAAAAAATATATAAGAAATATTTTACATGATATATTTCTCTGTGTGTTTATGCTGCATTAGTAAATATATCTGCAATATATACTTTTAAACCATTTAATATATTGATAATTCATAGGGAAATATATTTTGCCTGCTCATTATTGATCTGTTTCAGCGTGTCTTGGTTCATTTAGTTCATCACTGTCTATTAAACACCTTTTGCCTGTATTCAGTGTGAAGTCTTGTTTGTTCTGGTGTGTGTGTGTGTTACTGTCAGCATTCTCGATCTGTTTGTTTCTGGTGATTCTCAGTCTGAGTCTTGGGTTTCTCGTTCTCGTCTGCATCTGTGGATTTCACAGTTAATTGTAAACAGTTCGGACTGATAACGTGTGTTTTGACGCTCTGCCTGATATATGGACTATGACTTTGGATTATACTTGTAAATAAATTGCATTTGTATCCTCACTCTCTGCTGAATGCTGTTTCCACCATCAAAACATCACAACATCAAATCACTGACTTCACCAGCTTTATGAAGATCATCATTACTGAATTACTAACTGAATTTATTAAAGTTAACATGTTCATATCATGTGTGACTCACAATCAAACTCAGTTATTCAGTGACTGACAGAGACTCGTGTGTGTGATGATCCTCATGTTCATAAACTGCAGGAACACGGATTTGGTGTAAAATTTGGGGATTAACAGCGACGTTTCAATTCAACTACTTTCAAAATATTCTCAAAGTCTCACAGCAGATATTCAGATTAATATACTGAAGCTGGTCTTGTAGATCATAACTGAATTGAATGATATAATCTTTAACATTTTGACTATTGTAGAGGATACAATATTATGAAAAACATTCATTTTGACTCTGTTCTCACTTCAGTAATTGTGTGTTGTGTCTGTTATTGAGTGACTGTCTTCAGGGAAATGATGTGGAGTGTGTTTGCATATTGATCAGATCTTCAGTGTGTGAGAGTGTTTATAGTGCTGTGAGTTTAATACTTCATCACTGACACACACAACAATCTTCATCAACATGACCTTCATCATCATCTTCATCTGGACTCTCACAGCGTTTGCTCAAGGTTTGTGGAGCACAAGTTTGAGATTAATTCATTTCTTCAAGTATATTGTCAAAGTTTTGAGTGTATTTTCTTGTTGTGTTTCAGAGTGTAGAGGACAGATCACCGTCACTCAGAGTCCCTCAATAACAGCAGAACAACCAGGAGGAACTGTGAATATCAAATGTAAAACCAGCAGAGATGTGTACACGGATCGTCATGGAGGTCGTTTATCCTGGTACTTACAGAAACCTGGAGAAGCTCCTAAACTCCTGATTTATTTAACAAACCGCCTCCAGTCAGGAACCCCATCTAGATTCAGTGGCAGTGGATCTAACAGTGATTTCACTCTGAGCATCAGTGGAGTCCAGACTGAAGATGCTGGACATTATTACTGTCAGAGTTTCCATTGCAGAACAGATTCTGGTAATAGTTGTGTGGGTGATCTAGTGTTCACACAGTGATAAAGAGTCGTACAAAAACCTCCGTCACTCAGAGTCACAGTGACTGAACTGAAACTGCAGCTGATCAAAGAAACACACACACACACACACACACACACACACACACACACACACACACACGCACACACACACACACACACTCAACAGTGAAAAACACAAAAATGAACTTACAGTTTTTTACAATCACTTTGCTATATTTTCAGAACCTTGATGTCATTTTTCAAAACTCTAGACACAAAACTCAAAACGATAATCACTTGTAACACAGGCTGTCTAATGTTCAAAACATTGCATTGTGCATTCACATCTTTAAAGAAATCTTGCACTTGCACAATCATTGGTTCAAAAAACAAATTAACTGTGAAATACCATTGAAACATAACTATAGATCACCCACACACAAGCAACCGATAGTTTCACTGTGTCATTGTTCGTACAATCATTAAATATTGTAGAGCAAAATAGGTGATACAGGTTTCATTATGGTACTACATGTACAGTAAATACATCTCTGTAAAAGTACTGCAGTAGTAGAGAGAATATTACAGACACAGTGGAATCATTGTGAACAAAGTTTGTAATATATTGATGCAAAACACTACAGTACAATCACAACATGGTTTTTTGAATCAAAGCAAAAATAATTAGCTATGAAATAGAAAAGAAAAGACAGTACTGTAAAACATCAAATGCAGTGTTCCTCAACTTGCTGTAAGAAACTAAACAGGAGTGATTACTGTACTTCTACACTGTCATCAACTCTGTGTTGTGGATTTGGCCACAGGTTCTCATCTACATCACAATGGATGTTGGAAAATGACATCTTGGAAAAAACCTTTGGCATGGCGAGTCCAGGCCTGACACTGCTCTGCTGTGATTGGCAGAATTGGACACGCAGTTACAAGGGCCTGCATCTATACAGTACTGTACTGTCAATACTGTACATAGTCTGAAAAGGTGGTACAGTATTTGGCACCATAGACACAGTGTCTGATGAAGCATTACAGTATGATAAAATATTAGGCTACATCCATGGATATTGTAGTCTAATTGGTTCATGCCATGCTAATTGGTGACCAGGGACGTGCACAGGGGGGTTGCTCAGGTTGCCCGGGCAACTGCCCATATGCCCTTCTCGACTCAGGTTGCCCTTCCGAAAAAAAAGCCTAGATAAAAGAATTTCACGTAGACCTAGATAAAAAATAAAAAATAAAAAAAAAATTCGCAAAGCCTCATTCACTTCCATTCGGGCACTCAGCTCAACTGTTTACATGGCTGCAGCTCTGCACGCGACCATAGACTGCACGCGACCGGTGCATAAGCCCCCGCCTCCATCTCGTGTCATAGTGCGTCAATTAATGTGTACAACATCCATGACAAAATGAAGCGAAACTATCCTTCTGGTCATGAAAAGAGGAAGAAGAAAAAAACCATGAGAGTGAATTGCGGGAACAACAATCAGGTAAACTTGTGTTCTCTCCTCTCTAGTTTGATGTCAGCATAGTTTGATGTTTTTCGGTCTTGCTAACCTAGCTGGGCAGGCAGTGCATCTCTTGCATCACTTTGTGCCTGACAAAAGTGAGAGTAAAATACAATTATTTATTACGTTTGTTTTTGATAAACGACAAAGTGTACCGGTGTTTGTTTACTGCAGCTCAGAAAACATAACCGCGTCGCGTGTGTTATCGTGCGTTCATATGCGCGTCCATGAAATGAAACGCGCATTTTTCAAGCAGAAATATGTGGAGACCAGACATACTGTACAATACATGCACGTGAATGATGGCACTCCCAATCAAAGTACACATTTTACGTTTAAAACAAGACTCAGTGTTAAAAACTCTAAACAACTGCACTAATTATGCAAGATAGAAAGCAATGTATTGACAATTTGACATTGATTGACTATTGATTTATAGGCTATATTGAATTTAAAATGTTGATTAGCTGGACATACTGGTCAATATGGATGCACATCCCTCAGTAAATAATAACCATAAATCAAGAATTGCTTCAACATGCATAATAATAAATAAAAAAATCATACTGATGCCGAAAATACCCAGGCTGTAGAGAGAAGCAAAGTTAATCCCAAAAGCCAAAGCTCAGGGTTATAATTTTTTATGTTCTTCTTATTTATGTTTACATTAATATTCACTTGTTATCTTAACATTCTATAGAAAATATCTATTCAATAAATATTGTTTGTTTGAACCTCATTCTGTTCTATATTGTTGTACTTATTCTTTGACTGTTTTGTTTAAAGGAGGGAGGATTGTATGGGAGCGCTGAAGTGTCAGGTGTGATTGTGGCAATGGCAAATGGTTTACATAGCTCACGACATCACGGGTCAGGTAGAGGGCCCCTTAGCGGGATTAGGGTTAGGGCCCCAGGGGGAGGTCAGGATCGGCACTGGGTTTAGCAGTCGATTCTGTTCCCTACCGGAATTCCTGTTCCCTTTACGCAATCATACTACAAATCATGCGTAGTTGCCCGTAGCCTACCATCACAACTGAATACGAGCAAGAAGCACAACTGAATGTACGGGAAGCCAAAAGGTTAAAAAAGGATTGTATTTTTTCCCAAAATCCAAGGGGGGGTGCCCTTTTTTCAGGTCAGAGCAACTGCCCCTCAAAATTCCTGTGCACGTCCCTGTTGGTGACAATGAATCTCATTATCTTGAAACTTTCATGATTTACTGTAAACATGGAAGATTGTGTGTCTGTTTCCATACAACTATGCATTAAGAGTAATGCAACAGTTACTTATCATTTTGAGCAGCTGTATCAATTGACAGTTAGATCATTGTAAGGAAATGAATAGACACTCATTTGAAATGTAATGTGTGAATTGCCTTTTGAAATAGTAGTACTTTGATGTTAAGTTGTGTCATATTGAACAGGTGATCTTTGTTGAATGAACAAATGATCTAAGTTTTATGTGTATTGTATCCAAGCAATTGAGAAAAGGGTTAGAGTTTTGAAAAATGTGCTTTTTGATCATTGGTTGTGAGTTTTGTGTCTAGAGTTGTGAAAAATGACATCAAGGTTCTGAAAATAGTAACAAAGTGATTGTAAAAAACTGTATTACAAATAAAATTCAGAGTAGTCTACATGTTCATATTTTGCTCCAATGTGTAGCACTTGCTCCAACACAATACTTAATCTACTGGAGATGTAGGTTTTCACGGAGTGTGCGAAGAAATATATTATAGACTACAGATATTAAGCTTCGCACATGAACATGAACTCTCAGGCCATGTTGGCATCAGGAAAACATATGATAATTTGTTAAAACATTTCTTTTGGCCATCTTTGAAATCTGATGTAAAGTTCTGTAAGTCGTGTCATGCCTGCCAGATTAACCTACCATGCCTACCAATAAACCTGTCAGGGTTCTGTCACTTCTGCCATTTATTTTGCATATGTTTATTCTATGTTTTGGGTTAAGGAGTTAGGGGAGTTGCGTTGTATTTTTCTTTTAATGTGATTTATTTATTTTTTAGGGATTTTAGAGGGTACTAAATTAGTTATTTTTGTGTATTATTTTGGCCTTGTCCACTCCTGAATTTAACCCCTTTGTTTCTGGTTTTCACTATATTTTTGTTAATAAATGTATATTTGTTTGAACATTATCTTTGTGGGTGAGCGCACATTCATTTGTGTTGCGGCTGGAAGACGGTCGGAACACTGTTACTACTGAAGCGTTTGCATAGAGAGTGTGTTTTACATGAGCGACACACGCTTCAGCGCTCTGCATGTGTTTATAACTCTGTCAAACACCAAACATGATCAACAACTGTTTTTCACTAGAACTGAACCTTCAACCAACAAAAATGACTTTCATCACCGTATTGATCTGGACGCTGGCAGTATTATGTCGAGGTTTGTGTCAGTCAAGATTATACACATTATTTAGTTATCTTTATGTGTGTTGTGAAGATATATGGTTGTAAAAGTGTTTGTGGTTTCTAATCTTTCTCTCTTGTCAGAATCTGTTGGTCAGGTGACAGTGACTCAAACTCCCTCAGAGCGGCTCTATGAACCTGGACAATCAGTCACTATAACCTGTAAAACTAGCAGTGATCCACACTGCTGTTATGGTGATGGAAAACCCGCTCTGAGCTGGTACTTACAGAAACCTGGAGAATCTCCTAAACTCCTGATTTATTACACAAACCGCCTCCAGTCAGGAACTCCATCTAGATTCAGTGGCAGTGGATCTAACAGTGATTTCACTCTGAGCATCAGTGGAGTCCAGACTGAAGATGCTGGACATTATTACTGTCAGAGTTTCCACGTCATCAACAGTAAATATGTGTTCACACAGTGATAAAGAGTCGTACAAAAACCTCCGTCAGTCAGAGTCACAGTGACTGAACTGAAACTGCAGCTGCTCAAACACTTTCACACACACACACACACACACACACACACACACACACACACACACACACACACACACACACACACACACACACACACACACACACACACACACACACACACACACACACACACACACACACACACACACACACACACACACACACACACACAACAGTGAAGAAACGACTCAATATGATCTTATTGAACATCACTTTGTTGAGATTCATCAGTTTTTGACCTTTTAGATTGTGATTTTTCAGGAATGACATTTGTCTCCTGTTTCCTATTACATCCTTTATGTAGAAATTCAGTCACTTTTGATTTTCACTTCAGTGGATATTTTTCAATTAATTCAAAACATTTTAGATTTTCTGCGTTGATGATTTAATATATTATTTTTTTATAGTAAACTGCACCATCAGCATCTTACAGTTTTTTACAATCACTTTGCTACTATTTTCAGAACCTTGATGTCATTTTTCAAAACTCTAGACACAAAACTCAAAACGATAATCACTTGTAACACAGGCTGTCTAATGTTCAAAACATTGCATTGTGCATTCACATCTTTAAAGAAATCTTGCACTTGCACAATCATTGGTTCAAAAAACAAATTAACTGTGAAATACCATTGAAACATAACTATAGATCACCCACACACAAGCAACCGATAGTTTCACTGTGTCATTGTTCGTACAATCATTAAATATTGTAGAGCAAAATAGGTGATACAGGTTTCATTATGGTACTACATGTACAGTAAATACATCTCTGTAAAAGTACTGCAGTAGTAGAGAGAATATTACAGACACAGTGGAATCATTGTGAACAAAGTTTTTGTAATATATTGATGCAAAACACTACAGTACAATCACAACATGGTTTTTTGAATCAAAGCAAAAATAATTAGCTATGAAATAGAAAAGAAAAGACAGTACTGTAAAACATCAAATGCAGTGTTCCTCAACTTGCTGTAAGAAACTAAACAGGAGTGATTACTGTACTTCTACACTGTCATCAACTCTGTGTTGTGGATTTGGCCACAGGTTCTCATCTACATCACAATGGATGTTGGAAAATGACATCTTGGAAAAAACCTTTGGCATGGCGAGTCCAGGCCTGACACTGCTCTGCTGTGATTGGCAGAATTGGACACGCAGTTACAAGGGCCTGCATCTATACAGTACTGTACTGTCAATACTGTACATAGTCTGAAAAGGTGGTACAGTATTTGGCACCACAGACACAGTGTCTGATGAAGCATTACAGTATGATAAAATATTAGGCTACATCCATGGATATTGTAGTCTAATTGGTTCATGCTCCATGCTAATTGGTGACAATGAATCTCATTATCTTGAAACTTTCATGATTTACTGTAAACATGGAAGATTGTGTGTCTGTTTCCATACAACTATGCATTAAGAGTAATGCAACAGTTACTTATCATTTTGAGCAGCTGTATCAATTGACAGTTAGATCATTGTAAGGAAATGAATAGACACTCATTTGAAATGTAATGTGTGCATTGCCTTTTGAAATAGTAGTACTGTGATGTTAAGTTGTGTCATATTGAACAGGTGATCTTTGTTGAATGAACAAATGATCTAAGTTTTATGTGTATTGTATCCAAGCAATTGAGAAAAGGGTTAGAGTTTTGAAAAATGTGCTTTTTGATCATTGGTTGTGAGTTTTGTGTCTAGAGTTGTGAAAAATGACATCAAGGTTCTGAAAATAGTAACAAAGTGATTGTAAAAAACTGTAATACAGTTTTTTTTTATTCGCTTTGGTACTATTTTCACAAGTAAGGTGTACATTTTCAAAACTCTTAGTACAAAAATCCAAACTGATCACACTTGTAACACAGCTAGTCATTCTTTCAAAACATGATCCCATGCTTTCATTACAGTTATACATTTTTCAGTCCACATAATCATTGTTTCAAACACAAGATTATTGTAATATGTAATGAGAACGTTTGGTTTAATCACAGAAACACAACAGTATGATCTTCTTTCAATTTAGTACTTTTAACAATCAGTTCATTCAACAGCAAACAATGCAAGATACATGTTTCAAATCACCCTTGTTGCTGAAATAATTACAGTATTACAGGCTACAGTTCCCACATTAGAAAATACACGTGCATTACCTAACTTATGTAATTGAATCCATAATGTTTGTAATAGTATCTGCAGTGAGTTATCAAAAGCTGTGATGAAGTATGACAGTCATGCGGTTCTGTGCGAGAACAGAGTCTGCTGGCAATACAGTAAATGTGTTCACTCTATAGCCTTTGACTGAATCTATACTGTAGTGGACCTTTACAGATGACGGGTGAGTTACAGTAATGTGGCAGTCTCTACCATGGTAATCTGTTTACAGTATCACATGGCATACATACTGTAATGTAAAATGCTGTATTTGATGCCATCTGTCTCCCTTCTACTGATGCATCTCTAATCAATCTGTTTTACAGTAATTGACCGTTTCCTCTCCATTATACTCTATTCTGCTCTTCAGTGTTTTCACAAATAGCAAATTTCTCTGTATCTCTCTCACACACACATGCGTGTGCACACACTTTGAACATAGTGGTGGTTATTACTGTATCTATAAATCACTTATGTAGTCAAAAGAATTCATTACATTTGGTTATCCATATCGGAAATTGCAAACAAGTTGTAGAAACTGTATATACAATCAATATCTATAGAAATCTATAGGTGTGCCAAATGATCAATTGATTAACCATTAAGATCAGTTGGATTAAATAATAGACAAATGTATTAAACTGAACAAAAAGAGATGCAAATCAAAAGTTTGATATTAAGAGCTTTATGAAAGGCAGTTACTGTGAATGAAACAGTTATGTAGATGAAACACTTATTTTGTGTTGTGAAAAGGATACTTTGTGATTTTGTGAATTGTACTAACACAATTGAAAACATGATGAAATGTTTGAAAAAAGTGCACTTTTGATGATCTGTTGTGATATTAGCACTAAGAGTTTTGAAAATGTACACCTTACTTGTGAAAATAGTACCAAAGCGAATAAAAAAAACTGTAATAAAGATATTACTGTATTCACCATAACTTTTCTATCAAAACTACTGACTCTATAATTCATCTCAGTGCATTGTTAATGATTAAAACAATTTTAATACATTCTGATGACCTCTGACCTCTGGAATGACCTTTGCCCTCTGATGAAGTTCAGTGACACACTACTGTAGCAACTCTGTCATTTGAATCATCAGAAAGCCTGTAGCTTCAGACACATGAATAAATGTTTATGACTCGTAACATGGAAAAATATCCTAAACACTGTTATGATTTATGAGCATCATGTGTTGGAATCCTTACACAGATTTACATATAGATTATTTGCATCGCAGCTCACGCTTCAGGAGGATTTATAACTCTGAGTCTGAACACTGAGAATCTGAACCAACAGCAACCATGAGCTTCATCTTCATCATCTTCATCTGGATGTTCTCCAGCTGTTTCACAGGTGAGGAAATATGAAGTTAAACTGCACTATTTTAACTGATTAACAGTGCTTGAAATATTATCCAAATATGTAATTCTGAATATTTATTTATTCTTCTTGATGTAGAATCAGTTGGTGAAGTGACAGTCACTCAGACTCCTGCAGTGAAACCTGTTCCTCTAGGAGACACAGTTACTATATCCTGTAAAACCAGTCCTGAAGTTTATCAGGGTTGGAGTGTTCAGCCTCTATCCTGGTACTTACAGAAACCTGGAGAAGCTCCTAAACTCCTGATTTATGCAGCAAATCGCCTCCAGTCAGGAACTCCATCTAGATTCAGTGGCAGTGGATCTAACAGTGATTTCACTCTGACCATCAGTGGAGTCCAGACTGAAGATGCTGGACATTATTACTGTCAGAGTTATCACAGTGGTTATGTGTTCACACAGTGATAAAGAGTCGTACAAAAACCTCCGTCAGTCAGAGTCACAGTGACTGAACTGAAACTGCAGCTGCTCAAACACACACACACACACACACACACACACACACACACACACACACACACACACACACACACACACACACACACACACACACACACACACACATGTTTTCAAATACACATATCTAAACATTCTTCAACATTCTTTCTCTCATAAACTTTCACCAGTCAGCAGAACAAACATCTGAAACCAGACAAAATGGACCTGATCGACTCATTTCTGTTTTTAATCATTTACCTTTGCCTACATTATGATTTCCGTATTCGGCGTATGATCAAAGATTTTTTTGTATCTTCTCATTACTTTCACAGTATATACCACATATCAGACAAACATGAGAAAGCTCAAGTGAATAATCTAATCAAATGATCTGGAAGCAATTAAATCCATGATGTCTTCAATGGCTTATTTTAATAAGATTACAAATGAGACTGTGTGAAAACAAAAGCGTTGCATATACCGTTTGCACAGCCTATACTTTCTGGTTTATACTTCACAGTATTCAGTCAGTCCTCTACATCATATGATCATTGAATTTCCAATACTTTTCCAGTCATCTGCCATTTAAAAAAATTGCCTATATTTTACTCACATAAAGCTACTGAAAGGTATTTAGCAGTGATATTGTAAGGCTTTTCTATTTAGAGTATTTACCAGTACAGAATATGATGGCGTTATAATATAACAATGTAATATGTAACAAAGTTTGCAGAGGCTTCATAAATTAATAAAAAAACAAAAACAAAGCACAACTGATACACATTTCTTTGTTCTTCATTTTCTAGAACTAGAGAAGAAGCTTGCTGTATTTTTGTGTAATTAATTAAGAGAAAGTACAACGCCATCTTACTCCGACGAAAATGACTTGAACGCTCCTGCCGTCGTAAACACGACTTCCCACCTCGTAAGTACGAACTTCTCAGGGTAGCAACATTTTTATTTGTAGACAGGAATGAGAATGAGGCTGTGATGTCACTTTACTATAGAAAAGCTTCAGTGATTTGAGTCTGGATCCGGATCTGCTCATATTCAGATATTCAGATTAATATACTGAAGTTGGTCTTGTAGATGTGATCAGAACTGAATTGAATGATATCATTTTTAACATTTTGACTATCGTAGAGGATACAATATTATGAAAAACATTAATTTTGACTCTGTTCTCACTTCAGTGATTGTGTGTTGTGTCTGTTATTGAGTGACTGTCTTCAGGGAAATGATGTGGAGTGTGTTTGCATATTGATCAGATCTTCAGTGTGTGAGAGTGTTTATAGTGCTGTGAGTTTAACACTTCATCACTGACACACACAACAATCTTCATCAACATGACCTTCATCATCATCTTCATCTGGACTCTCACAGCGTTTGCTCAAGGTTTGTGGAGCACAAGTTTGGTATCAATTCATTTCTTCAAGTATATTGTCAAAGTTTTGAGTGTATTTTCTTGTTGTGTGTTTCAGAGTGTAGAGGACAGATCACCGTCACTCAGAGTCCCTCAATAACAGCAGAACAACCAGGAGGAACTGTGAATATCAAATGTAAAACCAGCAGAGATGTGTACAATGATGGATCTGATGATTTCTTAGCCTGGTACTTACAGAAACCTGGAGAAGCTCCTAAACTCCTGATTTATTGGGCCAACCGCCTCCAGTCAGGAACTCCATCTAGATTCAGTGGCAGTGGATCTAACAGTGATTTCACTCTGAGCATCAGTGGAGTCCAGACTGAAGATGCTGGACATTATTACTGTCAGAGTTATCACAGTGGTCCAGTGTTCACACAGTGATAAAGAGTCGTACAAAAACCTCCGTCAGTCAGAGTCACAGTGACTGAACTGAAACTGCAGCTGCTCAAACACACACACACACACACACACACACACACACATTCAATGGTGAGGATTTTCATGGATATTAAATTAAATATAAAACTTTCATTTAAATGTTTTACATGCTAAATACTTTAATCTATCACACTCTTAATTATTATATATATCAAAAACTATATTTGTGAGGTTCATAATTTGTCCGCATGTTCTTGTTTCATCATGATTCTGCAGGTGTTTTCACGCTCCATTGACTGAAGTTTATTTATCAAATGTGAGCTAAAGCCTTGATCCAGTGAATCACACAAAAAAAGTACACAAAAACAAAGTTAAAATTTTATATAATTTGACTGAATTTTAATTGAATCACACACAGACAGTCTGGTATGAAAGGCAAACAACACACTGCTCACTGAAGAAGAAAACAGTCAGAGAAAATCACATCATAATTTTATAAACACATTAATGCACAAACTCCTACACATGAAACGAAAAAATGTTCAGATTCAGAATATGTTTCACATTCTGAAAAATAGGCTGATTACGGTAATACAGAAATACATTAAAACTACAAAAACTGTGAAAAAACTGTTGTGTGTAAATGTAACATCTTTAAACTCTCAGCAATCACAATTTAAAGTTTTATTGAGCAAAAATTATGAAATTGTGAATTTTATTTTGGTTAAACAAGTTAAAAAAAGAAGATTTTGACAGAAAAACCTCAATGACAGTGTATTGCAAAGCTCTGGCGTTCACACACACATCCCGGTGCCAGTCGGTGGCGCTGGAGAGACAGGAGCTGAAACAGTGTGTATAACGCCAGACGCTGCTCTTGGACACTCAACATCAATTAATTATCAATTCATTAATTATTCTTAATTTCAAACCCTGGTTGTATGAAATTCTCTGTTATCAAAGCCCCTCAATCATTCTGAAGGCCAGGACTCAGGCTCTTTCAGTGAGACGCTGCTGTATCAACACTGTCGGATGACCGTCCTCCGCTGAGCAAAATCAGGATCTGTGACAGTGAAGGACAGTAAACACACTGTCTCTGATGGACGTCTGAGTTCAGGAGTTTACCTCCTTTGTGTCTCATTTCTCTAACAACATCAAGAATGTCTTCCTTTGCCGTGTAAGAAATGAACGTCTACATCTCGGCTGTACTGGACCAGAGAAACACAATCTCTGTTCTCAGAGACTTCCGATCTCTCCACAACAAACTCTTTCAGGAAACCCATTCCTAGTGTCATCCGAGGCATCCAGCAGGAAGACAACATCTCTAACCGGTCTATCCTGAGAAACACACATCACGGGTCAGATTGTAAAGCAATGGTGAAACTGCATTAAACCATCAGCTGTTATTGAGCATCAGTTTTACAGACTAGAATCTACTGAAAAATACAAATAAGAGTCCAAAATAAATAGCACATTCAAGCCCATTTTCTTCAAAAATAAAAAAGTAAGAAAGTAAGTAAAAAAAGTAAGGGAGAGAATCAATTACTTTAAAAATGATTTTTTTGCTGATTTACTTACGGCCATCATCAGTTTGATGGCGCTGCTGAAAGTGAACCACAGTGAAATAAACTAATAGATCAGCAGAAGAAAAACCTCCTGAACGCTTCACTAACTGAACTTCACACAGATCAACAACAAACACATCAACTCACTGCAGAAACTCACTGACTTCACCAGCTTTATTAAGATCATCATTACTGAATTACTAACTGAATATGTTCATATCATGAGTGACTCACTATCAAACTCAGTTATTCAGTGATTGACAGACTCGTGTGTGTGATGATCCTCATGTTCATAAACTGCAGGAACACACATGGATTTGGTGTAAAATTTGGGGATTAACAGAAACGTTTCACTCCAACTACATTAAAAAATATTCTCAAAGTCTCACAGCAGATATTCAGATTAATATACTGAAGTTGGTCTTGATGTATTCAGAATTTAATGATGCAATTTTTAACAATTTGGCTATTAGAAGATTGAATATTATAAATAAGACTGATTTAACTAGATGTTCTCTCACTTCAGTAATTGTGTTTTGTGTGTGTTATTGAGTGACTGTCTTCAGGGAAATGATGTGGAGTGTGTTTGCATATTAATCAGATCTTCAGTGTGTGAGAGTGTTTATAGTGCTGTGAGTTTAACACTTCATCACTGACACACACAACAATCTTCATCAACATGACCTTCATCATCATCTTCATCTGGACTATCACAGCGTTTGCTCAAGGTTTGTGGAGCACAAGTTTGATATCAATTCATTTCTTCAAGTATATTGTCAAAGTTTTGAGTGTATTTTCTTGTTGTGTGTTTCAGAGTGTAGAGGACAGATCACCGTCACTCAGAGTCCCTCAATAACAGCAGAACAACCAGGAGGAACTGTGAATATCAAATGTAAAACCAGCTCAGATGTGAGGAGATGGGATGATGGAGATCAAGGTTTAGCCTGGTACTTACAGAAACTTGGAGAAGCTCCTAAACTCCTGATTTATTATGTAAAAAACCTCCAGTCAGGAACTCCATCTAGATTCAGTGGCAGTGGATCTAACAGTGATTTCACTCTGACCATCAGTGGAGTCCAGACTGAAGATGCTGGACATTATTACTGTCAGAGTTATCATTGCACATCAGTTTCTGCTAATAGTTGTGTGGGTGATCAAGTGTTCACACAGTGATAAAGAGTCGTACAAAAACCTCAGTCAGTCAGAGTCACAGTGACTGAACTGAAACTGCAGCTGCTCAAAGGAGGATCTGAAATAACATCGTCGCACTTGCATCTAAAATAAAACACACATAAATTAATCTGACACTAATAATTAATAATTATACAGGTCAGAAGTCAAAGACTTACTTGAGAGAAACAACTAAAAACTCCATCAATGTCTCTTCAGAGTCTCTATCAGACTCGTTTTATTGATCTTTATTATTATGTGTGTCTTTTCCTTCTTTTACACTATAAATAGTATAGTTTGTTCTGCATGGTTTTGTGTTTGTTTTCATATTCATACTTTCTGTAGGGAGAATAAAAATGTGTTGTAATCTGGATCTGCTCAGCTGTGAGATTTTGTGCTTTTAAATATCAGTGACATGATTGAGATCGAGTGATTTCAGTTTTTCC